TCATAGGAAGTGTTCCGAGGAATTGTTCGAATTGATACCAGCAGCTAATTTTCACTATCGTACAACCCGCCCCTAACTAAAGAGTCATCCAAACCATATGAATGTGTGGCGATCCTTCTCTTTGCATTTCTATAAAATTTTTTTTCTTCTGTAAATATTATATTATCTAAGATGGCGATGCAGTGATACCCTGCATTTTTGTCGTATTTTGTTAAAAGAAGGACTGGCTGTACACCAGCGCTGTGCAGCTGTACACATGGCGCTGGGACACTCACAGCATCAGCTGAGCCGGTTCCTTTTGCCCGATATGAAATATTTCTTTTATATGTATTTTCTATACTTCCTATTGTGATTTGTGTGTTTACTGGCAATAAACGTTGTCTATTCTATTCAAAGTATGGAACCATTTCCCAGCAGCAGTATTTCCAAAGCAGTAACCTTCAAAAAAGAGCATATTCCTTTTACTTTTAAAAAGATCGGTAGCACATCTGCAATACGTCTGGTGCTACTGGTGCTTATGGGTGGCAATAGTCACTTATCATCAGGTGAACCACATGCTCGTTTGCCCCCTGTGTTATAAAAAAAAACAATGCTATTAAGAGACTACCGACTAAACCGTCTTTCAAAAAAAGCGTTCACGCTCACTTTTTATCTTTATCCGAGCAGTAAGTGCTTTATATTATTCTCAATTTCGTGTATAATATAGTATATATCATATATGTGTAAGTATGTTTGTTATTCATATATATTTATTCGTTTATATATGTAATTTTAGTATGTACGTATATCAATAATTAGTAGTACCGCATTCGAGTATTCTGACACTTCCCTATGGTTGACTGGGAGAGAATGCATTTAGCATTAAGTCCGCCATGTACATATATTTGAACTAACGAATAAATAAATAAATGTATTATATTACATAATTCATTGAAATTTACAGGAATCTGTAGGTTACAGTAACCGTTTACCAATAAACGTATTTTGCAATCAATTACGCGTCTCATATGTTGATTCTCAGAGAGATTTTTTTATACACTATGGTAACCATAGATTATGGACTTGCGGGTACCATCATCAAGCATATCCTGACTTTTCTATACATGAAATTGTGATCAATTACGAGAAGTTTAAATAATAAAAAAAACTATAAATATAGCTAGCAGCAATTTCAGAGCTAATATGGTACCACATCATAGAGATCTCGTGGTATACACGATGCATTGACCCATATTGTAAAACCGAGCCATTCATAATTGACCCATATTTTTCTATTAATGTTTTTAAGCTCTAATTAATCTTGTAGCATTTGTAGAACTGTTTTGTGCAGTTGGACCAATTTATGGATGCATATTTATAAGTTACTATACACTATTGTAGTATTGCTTCTACAGATTTTTTTTTTTTTTACTAAAACAACAAAACTCCTTTTTTTGTGTACATTTCGTTCAACCTAAAGTAGCTAAAAGAGAAAAAATAGAAAACCATTTAAAATTATCTTTCCGTACAAATCCGATTATGGGACCGACGTGAAATTAAATTCTTCGGATTAATTAAAAGAATATTCATTATTTGATTTTATCATACTAATGTAATAAAATTTTAATTGAACTGAACTGTGGACAGACGAAGATATTTTAATAGAATTTTCGTCTATCTAACTGTATCTGTATATATATATATATATATATATATATATATATATATATATGTATGTATGTATGTAAATAAGCCTTTCTTGTCCTATTGCATATAGAAAAATAAATAAATATATATAAAACTGTTACCCTATGAAAATTCAATAAACACTCTAAATGCATTAGTATTTGTTATGTTTCTTGTATATACACGCAATTTTTTTTTATTCTTTTCCTCTTTAGCGCGAACATATCATCTGTGGAGATGCGGAAACTGAAAATGATCTGAAACTTCCGTACGGTATTATTGAATGTTATATTTATTACTTGGTTGTAGTTTGCAGTTTGTTTGTTAGCAAACAATACAACAAACGATACGTCTTCCTTTATCTGACCGAAGGGGACGTATGACCCACAATAAAATAGGACGCATACGAGATCGCTCTAATTTCATAAGGTCCAATGTTGGTAAACTTTCTTAATTTACTTTTTAAATAGATGGATGTATAGTTTTTTTCATTTTCATTGCTGCAGCGGCCAGCAACTGAGGCATTGATGGACGAACATGCAAATGTGGGCCGAGGCGTAGCCGAGGCACACATACGTGAGTCCATCAATGCCCAGTTGTGGCCAAGGCTTGTATAGTACTTTTCTCAAACAATGCGCGGAAATTAAAAACACAATTTTACTTTTTAATTTCAATGACGAATAACGAACAATAATAATTTCTCACACGCCATAATGTTCCTTTGTTTTTTTTTTTTTCAATAAACAGCTTTCTATTTGCAAGCCAGTTCGAAATTTAAATAAAACCTTGTATTAGTTACGTCCTTGGTAGCCATGTTTCGAAATAAAAGGTCATTCCATTTTTAAATTACAGGATAGATATGAGTTTACATAGTAAATTACTGGCCGCAAAACAAGATAGATATGGATTTTCATACAACTTTTGCAGGCCGCTGCCCGCATGTATCTGGCCAATACAGCAATTTTGAGTTATCTCTAAGAAGATTGTCAAAATAATGCTCACATTTCCAAGCATGTTTGAGTAAAGTTTATTTTTTATGTCTCAAAAGGACATGTAAAGTGAATGGAATATTTTAATGTATATATACTGCCGGTTTAACTTACATGTAATTAATTCGAAAAAGCTCAATTTGTTTCGGAACCAGTTCGTAATCCTTAGTCACGAGCGACTGTGATGCGAGCACAAGCCTGACTGCGTGCCTCGGTCTGCTGAGAACGATCTATAGATACTTGCGGTATCGTCACAGATAAGAAAGACGTTGTTCGGAACTCTTCGGGTATGAACGGCTGGTCTTCGTAATGTAGTCGTAGTCCGTAGTGAATGGAATATGGTATCACATGAATCAACACCATTGATATTACAGAATGTACTTTTCATTTTTTTTTACAACACAGGGGGCAAACGAGCATGCGGCTCACCTGATGGTAAGTGACTACCGCCGCCCATGATCACCCACAACACCAGCGGCATTGCAGGTGTCCTTTTAAAAAGGAATATACTCTTTTCTTGAAGGTTATGTCATTTCTAAGAACTAGGAACTTGACGGTCAACCTGGTAGAATGTGGGTTTTTTAAGGGTGAAAATGAAATAGTGATACCGACTACGTTATCGATATACACTGGTGAGTATCAGTAAGAGATTATAGGTGAAGATGAAGAAAATTAGTTATAGGTATTAGTTATAGGCATATTGTGGCAGATTCATCAAATTATAACCACAGTTTTTTCCAGATAAAATCGCGTGGAGTTCGACCTGATAGGATTCGTGCTAGTAATAAAATAGTTAATGGAAGTTACACAATCTAGTATAACGTCCGTGGCACTTATTATGTATTGCTGTACCTCAAGCATAATATTCTCCGAAGAGACTTGGCATGAATAAAGAAATATGTTTTAAGTACTATTTCTTTTAGGCTGGTACTTATTTCATTTAGTTATTCATATATTTCAATATCCAAAGAATAAAGAATAGTGATAATAAATTGTAATTCTACTCTGTTACTATAGGGGGAAGGGGGGTTGTTAGTAATGGGAGCAGTTGTCCCAAAATTATCTCATCGGTTTCCATTCTAACTCCACGCTTTAATACACATCAACTTCCAGCATCAGTATTTCCGAACCTATACGACATCGTAACATTAAAAAAAAGAACATATTCCTTTTTAAAAGGCCGGCAGTACTCTCCAATACCTCCAATACTTCTCCAATAAATCTTGGTGTTATGGGTGCTCATGAGCGACGGTAGTCTCTTACCATCAGGTGAACTGCATATTTGTTTGCACCCTGAGTTATAAAAAATAAAAAATATCCACCTCGAAAGTCATTATGTTTAAATTCTTTTGAATTTGTCACAATATACTAACTGACGTGACTTCATTCGCACCTATCATTCTCTGGTACCTCGCCAGCGTAAACCAACAACATAGAAGGGATTACCATTTCGTTGAAAAATAAAACTCCGTCACAACACAAACATACAATAAAATTTTACACGCTAAAACATTACGGACAAGCGAAAACTCAATATTATAATGTTATGAGCGAACTGATAATTCTTTGGCAGACGTCCACGCAATAATGGGTGGGGACAAAACTATTTTCAGCTCTTTTCAACAGCCGAGCCAAGGCTAAGATTCGAGGCCGTTCCAATTAATATTGCTATTGCTCGTTAAGGATATCAGTGATGTATTTATTCGGTTTTACAATCTTTTATTTCGCTTTTAATCTATTGTAATTTAGATCAAATCTTGCAAGTTTATTTAGAAACACTTCTTGACATAATCGATTTTATAATCGAAATTCTTGACATAATCGAAAACCTCTAGGAGTCTACCAGAGGGAGACTTTGTACAAAAGTGGATTGCTTGGGTACCTCTGTTGTATTCGTGTTTCTACCGTTACCGTAGCAGTTGTGTTTGCATGGCTGTGTTTCGGTGTGAAGGGTGGGATATGGCGTGAATTTACAGGGTACAGAGGAATAACATCTGAGTCCTCAGGAATGGCAACGCATGGGGGGTATCATGGGCGAATCAGTATACTCTGTTATGTCCATGGTACTGCTCATGTCTATGGGCGACGGTTACCACTTTCCATCAGGTGGGCCGTCAGCTTGTTTGCCATTTTAAGTTGTATAAAAAAAAAATATATTAACATTATTTTATATGAAGTATTCATATATTAAGGGAGATATGTTAGAAATATTAAAATACTAAAATTCTTTGATATGAAGATAAAGGCCCAGCGTTGAATCATTTATGGTTATAAAGGTGTCATGAAATAATTACTATAAAATTTCTATCAACAAATTGTAAATTAATAATATATTTTCTCTTACAGGTAAATAATACGCTAGTGCAACGAACTAAAACCTTGGATAGTGACCAAGAGCGGGCGGCGACTGTTGAAAGCAAAGAGGTTTGCTATTTACGTTCAATCTTCCTGAAACTGTCGCGAAATATTAATACCGATATTTTTTTATACTAGTGACGTCATAAACAAGCATATTACCCGGCTGATGGAATATAGTTGACGTAGGGTATGGACGATATCAGTTCCTTTGGACAAAAAAAAAGGTATGGGCGATATATGGCGAGGGATGCCATGGTGGTTTTAGCCGGTAGGAGTTCGGTAGTATCCATACACCTACCCCGGGGCGTATGGGTCTGCATAATGCATTTCCCAACGAAAAAAAAGGGTATAGACGAAATACGGCGAGGGATGCCGTGGTAGTTTTAACCAGTAGAAGTCCGGCAGTACCCATCCACCTCCCCCGGGACGTATGGGTCTACATGATGCATTTCCCCAGGATAAAAATAAATGATATGGTCGACTGTGACTCCAGTTGACAATTCTGGAGAAACCTCCCTGATTAATAGAATTATTTCCTACTAAGGATCCGAATAGGTAATGTTTTAGCTTATGTAGCCTGCTAACCACGTAGCTTGGGGGATTGTTAGTAATGGAGACTGAGAATCCCATTGCTAGCAATATACCCAACCAAGTCGACCTCGCGGTTCTCCCTGGAAACTATCATGGTTAATTCCTGATGAATTCATCATGATGGGCTAACTGGCTTGTTTTCATTCTCATCTGTCACCTTTCACTGGTACCCTGCCAGCGTTACCGATAGCGCAGGCGGGGTTACCATTCCATCTTTACCCACTAAAAAAATATAAATGAAAAATAAATGACGATTTAGAAGTGCTTGTAAACAAGTCTATTCGAATATATATGATTTGAAATTCAAATTGAATAGTTACAACTAAATATTTTTTCCAAACAACGTATGGATCGAAGAATGACAAAAAAATATACAGGGTCTCATATTCAAATAACTGCTCGATAAATAATTGACGATACATAGAAATATCTATTACCATTAGTTTGCCCACCGTCCGTTTGTACGTTTGTTTTCCTTTTGAAATACTATTGAAACGGTCGTTATTTTTGAATAAATAGCACTTGAGTCTACATTTCAAATGGACTCGGATAAATTTTCAATTAAACTGAACGTTTACAAAACAATCCATTTAGATATTTATCCTCAGTTCTGAAGTTTGTTTAGTGTTAATAAATTTAAATGGAAAAATGAATTCATGTTTTTTTTTTTTTTTGTATTTATACGGCAATAAAATCAATTTTCATTTCATAGGAACGAAAAATCAATTACTAATAGTACTGTATTACTGTACTGTTTGTGTGTGCTAAGAAATAACAATTAAATAAACAAACTTTTACATTTTTTTTTTATACAACTTAGAATGGCAAACAAGCTGACGGCCCACCTGATGGAAAGTGGTAACCGTCGCCTATAAACATGAGCAGTACCATGGACATAACAGAGTATACTGTTTCGCCCATGTTACCCCCCATGCGTTGCCATTCCTGAGGACTCAGGTGTTATTCCTCTGTACCCAGTAAATTCACGCCATATCCCATCCTTCAGAGCGAAACACAGCCATGCAAACATAACTGCTTCACGGTTGAAACACGAATGGGACCGAAGTACCCAAGCAATAAAGGGGAAACATTTGTTTATTTGTCAATAAATAAACTCTTAAACTACTTGACCGATTTTAAAAATTCTTCTACCTATAGACAGATACATTATCAGCAAGTAACATGGACTATAGGCAGTGTAGATCCCTTTCCAGTGGGTGTCGTGAGAGACGGCTAAGGGAGTATGGTGGAGGAATAAATAGAAGCATCCTTCTTAAAACATCCGTGCGTTTTTCAAAACATTTTCTTCCACGCACAACCACTCTTTGGAATCAACTTCCAGCAGCAGTATTATCCGAACCGATACGACAACATAACTTTAAAGAAAAGAGCATATTCCTTTTTAAAAGGCCGGCAGCACACCTGCAATGACGTTGGTGTTGTGGGTGATCATGGGCGGCGGTAGTCACTTACCATCAGGTGAACCGCATGTTAGTTTGCCCCTGTTTTGTAAAAAAATCTCTAAAAGCCCAACTATAATTGCTAACCCACCTGCCAAGCGTGGCAACTACTCCTCTTATAATTTGACGATTTCCTTGGAGATAAATGCAATAAATTTCCTGAATATTATGCTAATACTATGATTTATATACTGTACATGACATTATATATATGTGTGTGCATGTGTGTGCATGCGTGTGTGTGTGTGCGTGCGTGCGTGCGTGCGTGCGTGTGCGTGTGCGTGTGCGTGTGCGTGTGCGTGTGCGTGTGCGTGTGCGTGTGCGTGTGCGTGTGCGTGTGCGTGTGCGTGTGCGTGTGCGTGCGTGCGTGTGTGTGTGTGTGTGTGTGTGTGTGTGTGTGTGTGTGTGTGTGTGTGTGTGTGTGTGTGTGTGTGTGTGTGTGTGTGTGTGTCACAAAATAAATAAATGAAATATTATTTTCAAAAATTCTATCTACCCGAGCGAAGCCGGGGCAGTTCGCTAGAATATAATATTAAGGAAGGATAATAGCAATATTTCGAGTGGATCTATTCCTTTCTTTGTAGTTTTGTATTGTGCTTGGTTACTAATAGTGCCTTTCCTGAGGATGAAAGGTATTGGTGACATGTATTGTATTGTATTTATTATGTAGTTAATTTGTGTCTCCAACACACACACATATATACAGGAACTGTTTATCTATCTATTATATTTATATATATATGTATGTATTTCTATGTATATTTATTTATATATTTGTATATTTATATCATTATCATATCAGCTTTTAACCGTCCACTGCTGAACTTAAATCTCCCCTAGGGGGGTTTTGCCAATAGTTGCCACGATTGGCAGGCGCATTGGTAACGGCAGTTAGGCTTTGGAGACGTTTTAAGAGGGACACTGCTGCCCATCCTTCGCCATCCCTTAGTCGTCTTTTACGACACCCACGGGAAAGAAAGGGGTGGCCTACCACAAGTGATCATATTTATATGCATATATGGATTAAATTTAAGTATGTATTAGTAACTTAAAATATACATTTATATAACAGCCTATATATTCACATTATTGTACGTATGCATAACTCTATTTTTTTTATACAACTTAGAATGGCAAACAAGCCGACGGCCCACCTGATGGAAAGTGGTAACCGTCGCCTATAGACATGAGCAGTACCATGGATATAACAGAGTATACTGTTTCGCCCATGATACCCCCCATACGTTGCCATTCCTGAGGACTCAGGTGTTATTCCTCTGTACCCAGTAAATTCATATGCATCATCTTTAATGCTTAGGAAAAAGAAGGGCATAAACTAATTTTTATCCTCGTCAATATGTCCTATCAATATATCCAAGTCATGCGAACAGAGTTAGGGGTAAAAGTTAGTAATATTATAATCTATATATTAATACGTGATGCAAAAACTTTGGACCACTTTTTACGATAATTGCGCGGACGTAGGAGTATGGAAATTCGCACACTTATAGTTTATATAGGGAAAGAGTGCAGAATGCTAATATTTTTTTTTAAATTATGCATAAAACATTCCCAAGAGACTACAGCATGGGGTTCTTCAAAAGGGAGGTAAAGAGGTTTCTTCAGGGTCGGCAACGCATGCATAATACCTCTGGTATTGCAGGTGTTCATAGGCTACGGTAACCACTTACAAACAGGTGGGTCGTATGCTTGTTTGCCACCTCAGTGGTATAAAAAAAATTAAATCAATTAAATAATTACACACCCAAATGCTTTTTTTTACAACACAGGGGGCAAACGAGCATGCGGCTCACCTAATGGTAAGTGATTACCGCCGCCCATGATCACCCACAACACTAAAGGTATTGCAGGTGTGCTGACGGCCTTTTAAAAAGGAATATGCTCTTCTCTTGAAGGTTATGATGTCATATCGGTTCTGTTATCGGTTTTTATTATGTTTAATATTATTTGTCTATAGTCTTATTGATTGTCGAACATAACTATAATAAATTAATTTATTACAATATATGTTATGGTCGAATTTCGGCCACTGGGCGACTACAAGTGTAAAATTAATACCTCACTTTTGACTTACGGTGTAAATGCTATTAGGACATAACAGCTGTTGCCATCTCACACTTTGTGGTTTTATGAACATTATGCGCTATCATTGTAGTTTTATGACCATGTTATGGCAAATACTGTTACGAGAGTCATTTTCAGGGAATTTTAAGGTCGTCAGCATGAGTTTATTACAGTACTAGCCATACGAGGAAGTTCCAGTTTGTTCAGCTAGCTATGGATAGTAAAATGATAGGAGTTCACAGAATAATTTTTTTTTGAGGGGTGAAAATGGTATGGTAACCCCGCCTGCGCTAACGGGATACGCTGGCGGAGCACCAGTGAAGGGTGATAGATGAGAATGAAAACGGGCCAGTTAGCCCATCATGATGAGTTCATCAGGAATTAACCATGATAGTTTCCAGGGGAAACCGCGAGGAGGTCGACCTGGTTGGCAATATTGCTAGCAATGGGATTCTCAGTCTCCATTACTAACAATCCCTTTCCCCTTCACAGAATTATTAAAGTGATTTATATAAATTGTTTTTTTAATTACTTTTCTCCATCCAAAGGTTGCCTGGAAGAGATCGCTCTTAGCGATAAGGCCGCCCATTGTTTTCTCATTGTGATTATTTCTTGTAATTATTTATATTTATAATAAGTTTACTATTGTAATTATTATTTATTTATTCCTTAGTACAAATACATGGCGCCATGTATGTGTACATGTCCGCCATGTACACATACATGGCGGACTTAATGCTAGAAGCATTCTCTCCCAGTCAACCATAGGGAAGTGTCAGAATACTCGAATGCGTAGTAATTATTGATATACATACATACATCTTTTGGAGGAAACAATAAAGAGTATCTTGACAAGTATATTGACAAGATTGATATGGTTTCGAGACGGTCAGATCCAGCTGTCAATTTTACATAATTAACAATGACCAT